GATTATATATAATTTTATATAATTATAATATATATAAAACATTTTATACCAGGTAGATATAATTTGTATTCAATTTTGCTTAAAAAATGGTCATTAAGACATAAAAAATTTCTCTTATTAATTAAAAAATTTTAAATAAATAATAACTAAATAATTGTATTGTTATACAAATTACAAAACAAAGTTTAGTTTTTAATTAAAAATTTTCTTCTAAAATATTATTTCATAAAGAGCTAGCTTCGATGTGCTATGCTCAACTTCTTCTAAATTTTCTTAAACATTATTAATTTAAATTATAGTGCAGCCCCGAATCAACATCCAGATGCCACCTACCGGGCCGGGTCTTACTTCGTTTGAGACTCGTGTGGTTGGAGGTGACGAAGCGCCGAAAGGAAGATACCCATATATGCTTTCCCTTCAAACGTGGAGCTTTTTTTTCTTTGAGCATTTCTGCGGCGGATCCATCCTGAACGAACAATGGGGTATAACAGCAGCACATTGTGCTGACGCATATCCCGCAAGCAATGTTATCGCTAAGGCTGGAAAATTCAATCTTAAACTTACGGAGGCAACCGAACAGTTAACAAAAGTGTCAAAATGGATCATACATGAGAAATATAAAGGGTAAGCGAAACTTTGAAACAGTGAATACGAACAATTAAATTAATTCGTCTTTGAATAATATTTGTTTAATATGTAATCAATGTTGTGTTTATAATTATATATGTATATAATTATTAATTTCTAATTGTATTATATTTAGAAATAATTTAGAACATAATAGCTCTTACATCAATAATAATCAGCAATTTTATTTGTAAAATAAATTATTTGTATAATAATCGAAATTACTATCACTAATGTAAGGTTACAACATTGGTATTAATATCGTGATTGACATGTATAGGATATTAGAAAACTATATCTGATTATTATTAGAAATATGATATTAGAAAACTATGCTCAAAAAACATATATCTCAAATAAATAATATGACGCACGAATTATATTTTGAGATTTGTTATGATGTACATATATTCTATTCTTTTAATTCTGCAGGTTACTACTATTCTTTCACTAAACACTGAAAGAAAAGATTGACTGAATATGGCATAGCATTTTTAATTGGTTGCAGCAGTCAATTTTTGGTTGCGTTAGCCTATCAAAATTCTATACTGACATTGCAGATTATAGACTAACGTAACCAAAAATTGACTGCTGCAACCAAAAATTGGTTGTCGCAACCAGAAATTTACTGCAACAACCAATCTTTTCTTTTAGTGTACTACAATTTTTTTTAATATTAACACGTTAGCTTAAACGCATATTTTTTTAAAACTGTATAATTGATAAGAACATAATTTTATATATACATGCGATACGTATTTTCTAACTTTCAGTGGTGTTGGCCCAAATGACATTGCTCTGATTAAGTTCACTACTCTGTTGAAGCTTAACGTGAACGTACAACCTATCGTGTTACCTCAACCAAACAGTGAACCAACTGGACAGGCATGGCTTAGTGGATGGGGCTCTACTTCGACTACTAATAATCCAATAATGCCATCTATACTTCAACATGCTCTGATGACTATCATCGATCGCAAACTTTGCGACGCAACCGTCACTAACATGACAGGTTCTCCTTCTCCTGTTGATGACACCAATATCTGCACTGCGCCAAAGTCGAGCAAACCAAATTCTGCATGCAGCGTATGTGCCAGATATTCGGCAAATTCAATGAATGATAGCAGCAATTGTTGGCAATTAATGTAGCAATTTAATGTATTGTTTTTAATATGCTTTTAGGGTGATTCTGGTGGTCCACTAGCTATCTTTACAGGAGGAAAACCGGTTCTTATTGGACTTGTATCTTGGGGTCTTATACCTTGTAAAGACGCGCCATCCGTATACACCAAGACATCTTATTTCAATAAATGGATCGAGCAAAAAATCAGTAATTATTAATGACAGTAATATTGATGATGTATCAAATATGTACTGAATGACGAATTATTCGACAAAAAATAAACAGGCAGCTTAAATAAATAATAACGTCTTTTATTTTGATCCACATAGAGTAGAAAACTAAATAGTAATTTGAATAAAAAAAACATTTTTGACAACTATTCATGTTTTTATTTTATTCAACAAATAATAGTCACAAATTATATATCTTCCCGTCCTTTTGCGGTTTTAAAGCGTTAACATTTGGCCTTCTAAAATGCCATACGGTTTGGCGTTTGATGCATATAACCTCAAAAATCAGTAGTGTTCACGATGGCAATAACAAAAGAGCATATTCGATTTTCCGTCCACTTCGCGTTTCATCTGAAGAAAAATGCTGCTGAAGCCACTACAATGATTTGTGCTGCATATGGAGA